TCAGATTATTCTCCAAAAAAAGAAGATTATTCTCTCAACAAACTAAATGAAATAAAAGATTAAATATATGATAGGAGTTTTGAATTGTAACACTCATTTGTTTGGGTGGAAAAATATTTTTCAAAAAATGTTTTTCACATTTTCTGTCATTTGGTACAACGAAAAATAGAAGTTAATGGAAAACATTTTCTATAGTCAATGAAAAACAAATTTATTTAGACAGAAAATGTTTTTCACTTTCAAAAAGCAAAAAACGTTTTCTAAACTAAATTTTTATCTGTGCTACCACATTACAATCACTACCATCCACCACTATTGTCGCTACCACAATCACCACCACTAAGATCCCTACCTCATTATTACCACTATCACACAACCACCATGTCGTAATCACCTTCCCAACATGTCCACTCTTCCGCCACTACTACCACCACCACTAATGCAACCATTAGTACATTAATTTTAAGAATGCAACCAAACATAAGAAAACATTTTCTATGGAAAAACATTTACTCAAAAAAGTTTTCTATAAAAAATATTTCCATTTTTTTTTTCAAAAATATTTTTTTGTTAAGAACAAACAGAACGATATTATATATTACAAGTTATATCATGTGATATTTCTGAACAATAAGTCTCATATTTTGGACTTGTAATCTATATAGTTTCATATTTTTTCTTATGATTCATTTAGTCATTTTAGATATGTAATGACTCATTTGTCCGCCACATTGGAGTGTCACATTTGAAAAAAATACACTAAAGAGTTTTTTAATATCACATTATACATGTCACGTTAGAATGTCACAATTGAGCAATGTACATTAAAAAGTTTTTAATTTTTTTAGAGTGTTACATCATACTCGCCACGTTAGAGTGTCACATGTCACGTTTGAAAAAGTACACTGAGGAGTTTTTTAAAAAATTTAGAGTGTCATATCATACCTGCCACATTGTCACATTTGAGAAAAGTATGCTAAGGAAATTTTTTTTTTTTTTTTTTTTAAGTGTCATATCATACCTGTCACATTGTCATATTAGAGAAAAGTACACTAAAGAATTTTTATTTTTTTTGAAGTGTCACATCATACCCACCACGTTGTTACATTAGGAAAAAGTACACTAAATAATTTTTTTTTAGTAAAAGTTTTGGAGTGTCACATCATACCCACCATGTTGTTACATTTAAAAAAAGTATACTAAGGAGTTTTTATTTTTTTAGAGTGTCATATCGTTGGAGTGTCACATTAATGCTTGCCACATTGAAGTATCACATCATACCTGTCACATTAATAAAATGGTATACATGTCTATCAAAACATTATCAAAATCAAAAATAGAACCACATGAAAATAAACTCTTCACTAATAGAACTTAACAGATCAATAAAAAAAATTAAGACTAATTAAAGTATTTGTTTATGAGATGAGATTTATTGATAAATATTCTTAAAATAAATAATTAGTTAAAATCAGTACACACTATCGCGTTGGGTGTGTTTGGTAACGTTTACGTTTTCAGTTTATATTTACAAAAATTTTATAAACTGGTTTTTGTTTCTTTTTAGAAAAACATAAACTACAAACGTGTTTGGTAATTGACAAAATGTTTAAAAAATTTTAAAAATATAAAAAAGCGTGAGAAATGGCAAGTGGTGGTAAGTGGCGGCGGAAGACAGTGGTAGAAAGTAGTGACGGTGGGTGGTGGGTAGCTGGTGGTGGCGGGTGGGTGACAGTGGCGGGTGATGGGTGGTGGTGGTGGCAGGTGGATGGTGAGTAGTGGTGGTAGGTGGGTGGTGGGGGTGGTGGCGGAAGACGGTGGTGGAAAATGGTGGTAGGTGGTGGCTAGTGTTGGGTGGTAAAAAAAAAAAACTCAAAACGGAAACATATTTTTTGTATTTTTATTTTTTGGCCAAATTTATAAACTGAGACCACTGATTTATAAATCAAAAATTTTATCAAACAAGTTTTTATTTGAGTTTTTAAAATTTTTATAAATATAAACTGAAAACTAAAAACGTAAGTATTACCAAACGGCACCTAATTATTTGGACTTGTACTAACCCTTCACATTATTCAACACAAAATACTTGTCATGCTGTATCCAATTAATCAAACAAAAAGTAATAAATCCCACTGTTTTAAGTAATAAAAATCAAATTAAGGCACCTCATAAATTTGCCTAAGACCCAAATAGTTTTCCTCACCCTAATAATCAGTCAGATGCCTAGTTTTATATTTCAATAATAAAAAGGCAGAGTTTGAATTGTTTATGTCCTTAGACAAAATTTGGTTAAGAGCAAAATGGTTAGAAAGTGGGGAAAATAAAAATAAAAAATAATTTTGCTGGTGGCGGGTGGTGGGTGATGGCGGGTGGATGGCAGGTGGGTGGTGGGTGGTGGCGGTGGCGGCGAAGGGTGGGTGGTAGTGGCAAGTGGGTGACAAGTGGGTGGTGGCTGGTGGGTGGCTGGTGGTTGGTGGTGGCTGGTGGGTGGTGAGTGGGGGTGGGGGGGGGGTGGTAGGTGGTGGTGACGGAAGACGGTGGTAGAAAATGGTGGCGGGTGGTGACTAGTGTTGGGTGGTAAAAAAAAAAAAAAAAACTCAAAACTCAAAATGGAAACACATTTTTTGTGTTTTTATTTTTTGGCCAAATTTATAAATTGAGACCACTGATTTATAAATCAAAACTTTAACCAAACAAGTTTTTATTTGAGTTTTTTAAATTTTTATAAATATAAAAAGAAAACTGAAAACGTAAGTGTTACCAAATAACATCGTTATGTTTGATTATGATAGAATAGAAGTATATGATTACTTTTTATTATTGGTGTATAACTATTGTGTTGATGATAATGTGAATGTAACATTTTCTTTTTTTAATTTCTTTATCTAGTTGTCAAATAATTTTTTAAAACTCCAACATGGTTGAATTTTTGATAAATTAAAATTGACACATAACTTGTCACTGTGAGATAAATTGTAATTCTTAAATTATGAGGCGGTGTTTGATAAAATTGAAAATTGAAAGCTGAAAATTAAGTAATAAAAACTGAATAGTGAATTTTTTAAATTAAAAAGATTAAAAAATTAAGTGTTGAACTAAAACAGATTGTTTAATATATACGAGATCAAATTTTTTATTTTTTATTTTTAAATTATAACTTTTAATTTTTATATTATAACAACAGTGTCGACAATGAGAATGGTAATGGAGATAAAGACATATGGTTCTAATGATAGCGGATAGATAAACAAAAAAGACGACGACAATGGTTTAATGATAGCAATGGTTGTCATGATGGTGATATTTCACGTAATTTTTTTACCTAAACTAAATACGCTTAAAAGTATAATATTTATAAAAAAAATAAAATAAAATAAAACTAAAACTAATTTTTTTTTAAACTAGGGTAAATTATAAATATACCCCTTGAGATTTGCTTAAAATACGAATTGTTCCCTGCAGTTTGAAAAATTACAAATATTTCCCTGTCATAACTTTTTATTTAACAGAATTAATTAAAAATGTGAAATTTCTAATTGTTTACCTATACAATAATAAAATTATCTAAATTATTAATTGAAATAAAATTTTAACATTATTAAAAACTGTTAATTAACTTGATGATTTATTAATAAAAGGGTCTATTTGTTATGAAATTATAAACTTGAGGAGGCATAATATAATTTCTAAAACTACAAATATAATTTATAATTTAAATAAATCTCAAGGGGTGTGATTATAATTTAGGGGGATGCACAAATCCCAAATTAATAACTTATGCACTGTTTAGTCCTAAAAGTTTTCTTATAGACTGAAAGGTCCCATTACAATGTTAATAACATCAGATACAATGTTAATAACATCAGAGTCATGTTATAAATATTGGATTTCAAACATCTAATGTTCATCAAATTTCAATAATGTTTGAAAATATAGGATGAAAAACATCTAATGTTCATCAGATTTCAATAAATTTTGAAATTATAGAATGAAACATCAGATCATTTACATCATTCACATCATGTTGATGTAAAAATGGGACTAAATGGAGCATAAGAAAACTTTTAGGACTAAATGGTTCAACGTTTCAAAAACTATGACTTATGGGTAAATTTTCCTATAATTTATCCTAAAAATTATTTAAAATATAAGAATAAAAATTAAAAACACATTAAGGGCTGGTTTGGCTTATCCTAAATAAGTCAAAAAGTTAAAAAGTTACTCTAAAATCTAAAAAGATATCACTATTCATCAAAAAAAAAAATTAAAAAATCAATTTTCTTCAAAAAAAAAAGAGTACACACCGAATTGATGTGTGTGCAGCTGCTGTGTGCGGCAGTGGAGAAAAAAGAAATGATTGGGTGTGGTTTTTACACACACCGTTGTTCGTCTCATGGGGGTCATCACGGGTCCCGTTTTGATAATCTGAACCGTTCAATGTGTAGAAATTATTGAGTACTATATGTCTGCAAAAAATCACATTGATCGGATATCGATAACTATATGATCAAATCAGTTATGTACAACAAATGGATAGTGTTATAATTAATGATTGAAAAATAAATAAATCTGATCAGATAGCTATCGATATCCGATTAACGTGATTTTTTATAGGTACATAGTGTTCGACAAGTTACACACATTGAACGGTTCAAATTATTAAAATGGGACCCGTGATGACCCCCACGGGCCAAACAAAACCGTCCAATGCTTTGTACAAAAATTAGCCAATAATTTCCAACTCCAATTGAGTGTGTCGGTTGTACAGCCGGTTGTATGGCTGGGTCCACTCCTCTCTTATCATCTCTTACATACTTTTTTTTATACAATTTTTTAATACACATTTTTTCATAAAAAGTCAAAAAATTAACCCAAATTTCCATATATTTTTTTTTGTCTTTTTTAGTCTAAAAAAACAAAAAATATATTTTTTTAGGACACCCAAACCAGCCCTAAACTAATTTTAAAAGCTCAAAATCAAAACCAACACCAAACAAAACCAATATCAAAAGGTGATTTTTTCTTCCATATTTTCCTTCTCCTTTTTATATTTTCTCGAATCCGAAGTACACACACTCATGGCATGGCCGTCGTCGACTCACTGTTGCAGAAATGCACATCTCTCTCTCACATCAAACAACTTCAAGCCCATCTCATTATCACCGGACTCTTCACCCCTCTCGCTCCAAGCTCCTCGACTTCTGCGCCACCTCCTCCGCCGCCGGAAGCCTCTCCTACGCCGCCGCTGTCTTCCGCCGCATCCCCTCCCCCTCCACCAACGACTGGAACGCCATCATCCGAGGCCTCGCCCAAAACGACCACCCCAACGGCGCCGTCACGTTATACCGCAACATGTCACGCGCCTCCCACAAACCCGACGCTCTGACTTGCTCGTTCGCTCTCAAGGCTTGCGCTCGAGCTTTGGCTCGTTCCGAAGCGACCCAGATTCACTCTCAGCTCATACGATTTGGGTTCGATGCTGATGTGTTGTTACAGACGACTCTGTTGGATGTGTATGCGAAGACAGGTGATTTAGACAATGCTCACAAAGTGTTCGATGAAATGGGCGTGAGAGATATTGCGAGTTGGAACGCTTTGATTGCTGGGTTGGCTCAGGGTAGTCGACCCAATGAAGCTTTAGAACTGTTTAAGAGATCGGGATTAGAGGGGTTGAAGCCTAATGAAGTTACAGTGCTCGGTGCTCTCTCGGCTTGTTCGCAATTGGGTGCCATAAGAGAAGGCGAAAAGATTTGGAATTACATTAAAGATGACAAGTTGGATGCTTGTGTGCAGGTTTGCAATGCTGTTATTGATATGTATGCAAAATGCGGTTTTGTAGATAAAGCATTTCGGGTTTTCAATCATATGAATCGTAGGAAGAGTCTTGTTACATGGAATACAATGATCATGGCATTGGCGATGCACGGTGATGGAAATAGAGCGCTTGAGCTTTTTGAGCAAATGGGTGAAGCTGGGATTTGCCCTGATAGTGTGAGCTACCTTGCAGCACTATGTGCATGTAATCATTCAGGGCTAGTTGACCATGGTTTGAGGTTGTTCACTTCAATGGCACGGTGTGGAGTGAGTCCTAATGTTAAGCATTATGGTAGTGTAGTTGATTTATTGGGTAGAGCGGGGCGCCTTGAAGAGGCTTTTGAGATTGTAAATTCAATGCCTATGATCCCTGATGTTGTACTTTGGCAAACCTTGCTCGGGGCTTGCAAGACTTATGGGAATGTCGATATGGCAGAGCAAGTGTCGAGGAAGCTTGTGGAGATGGGTTCTAACAGTTGTGGAGATTTTGTGCTGTTGTCGAATGTGTATGCAGCGCACGAGAGGTGGGATGATGTGGGGAGGGTGAGAGAGGCCATGAAGAATAGATATGTAAAGAAGGTTCCGGGGTTTAGCTACACTGAAGTGGATGGTGTCATACACAAGTTTGTCAATGGAGATCAGAGCCATTTGAGTTGGCGGGAGATTTATAGGAAGCTTGAGGAGGTTAGGTTTAGGATCGAGTCGTATGGTTATGTACCAGAGACTAATTATGTGTTGCATGATATAGGGCAGGAGGAGAAAGAGAATGCATTGTGTTATCATAGTGAAAAGTTAGCTGTAGCTTTTGGTTTGGTTAGTGCAAGTGAAGGTACTCCAATTCGAGTGATCAAGAATCTTAGGATATGTGGTGATTGTCATGTTGTGATTAAACTTATTTCGAAGATTTATGATCGCGAAATTATTGTAAGGGATCGAGCTCGGTTTCACAGATTCGAGGAGGGATCATGTTCATGCAGAGATTATTGGTAACATTTGATTTTTTTTCTCCTTTGCTGTATCATTCTTAAGTTGTAAAGAGAAACTTAACAGAAATTAATAATACATGAATATGCTGCTTTGGCCCTTAGGTATTCGTCTGCAAAGTCAATGGGGTGTTCTGCAACTCATCCTCTTGAACACATTTAGTATATGTTTGGCAAGTTGGTTCTTGGACTTTTTTGGTTATTTTAGTCACAAAAGACAAAATAGGCTATTTTAGCCATAACAAACAAAACATCACATCCAACCCATAATCATTACATTCTTCTCTCACAAAAAAACTCAAAAAAGCCAAAAAGCCCTTCCCAAACCAAGCTTTTAAGCCCAGGCTAAAATAACCAAAAAAGCCAAAAAGCCAAAAAGCCAACCCACTTCCCAAACGGAGGCTTAGTTGTGTTTCATGATGGCTTTGGACCTCTTAAGCAAGTGGATTTCTTGTACTTTTTAACCTTTTGATATGTTGAAGAAGAAAATCAAAGTCATTTGATCATCTACAGAAAGAGAATCCAAGTTGAGTAGAAATCAACTGCATCCCTAGGGATTGGATTCAAGATGATTCCTGGTTTTAAATGCTGGGGAAAACAAATGGAACTACTACCTTACATTTGGTATGTCATACAACCGATAATCAAAAAGTAAAAGCCAGTCTTTAAAGCTAATTTAAATTATTTCTACCTAATCATCAATTTTTAAAGCTAATTTAAATTATCTTTACCTAATAAAATTATAAACCAACTGAAAAAAGGAAGCTCATATAAACAGCACCAGCAGCATAAAGTACATGATTCACTTGCTACAGCACATTCACAATCTGAAAACATAGTCGGAAGCTATGCACAACGTACTCTTTTGCACTTCTAAGTAATACCGAAAAAATAAAATGCTAAATACACCAATGTCAACCTGATAGAACATCAGCATGTTCATATCAATAAAGCAGGTATACTACTGCACAATACATAACTCAGACGGCGAAATTACATTTCATTGTCTCTGGATGAAATTAACATAACCCAACACAAGAAAAACTGCAGTCCAACAACTGCAAAAAAAGGATGAAGAATTTGTGAATATTAGTGGCAAACTCAACCCTGCAAGAATACAAAGCCTCAAAAGAATAAACTAGCAACCACAGCTTCTCCCAGGGTGCGCACAATCAGAAGCACTGAAAATATTGCTACAATGACAAGCTGAATAATACAGGGATTGATGGTAACAATGTAACTAGCTAGTCTTTCACCGGCCTTGCCTCAAAACCACCTTCAGGTCGCTTTACAAGCTTGTAGGGCATGTGGGTACCAAGAAGTTTATCCCATACGGGAAAGAAAGGCTGAGAATAGTTGTACTTTGCGCCCTGGAGTTGATGATGGATGTCATGATAAGCAGTGTTGTTTTGGAAAAAGAGATGGAAGATATTACCAGGCAACCATAGTCCACAGTGATCATCAACGGTTTTAATCACAGCAAAGCAGAAGAAAATCACAGCCGTCCGTGCAGTCATTCCCGAGACAAGAAATGAGATGGCCCCCCCAAATGTGTCTAGCAGAAGGCCCTCCAGAGGGTGATTGTAAAGGGCCCCAATTGCATAAGGGACAACCAACCTATGATGTTGAGAGTGGACGTGACGGTACAGAAGTTTGTTCTGGTGCATGTAGCGGTGCACAAAATACTGCCATGTGTCCATGACCAGCATTGCAACAACAATTTGGACAATTTGAACGGGAAGGGAGGGCTGAATTGTTACTCCAGATGAATTTACCTTTGAGGTAACCTGCAGCAAAGAAGGCAAAAAGGATTTAGTCCACAATTATCATTTCAAGAAAATTTTCCCACCCCACAAACCATGAAGTCCCTAGATCCTGAGGTGAGCCACATATATATTATGTCCCAACTGTTTTCTCTCCTCCTAATTAATAGAGCACTTGAATTAATTGATGCGCTCACGGTCTGTGCCATAATATTATCAATCATTTGATCCATCAAGCATGTCACAAACATAATTAGCCAGTACTACAAGTCCACAACCAATAATCATATCCAAAAAGGTTTAGGACTTAGAGTTTAGGTTGATATCATTAGGGCCTTAATAGAAATCACTTCTAATTCAAGAAATCAAAGAATTCCCAATGTCAACAACTACTAGAGCTACATAATGAACTGAATCAAAACTAATTGTTGAATCATATATATTAAATCCCCAATACCTAACGTGACACAAAACAGTATCCATGAGATCAAATAACAGAAAATAATGTCCAATGCATAGGGTACAATATGTTAGATTAGGTCAACATAATTTGCTATAAAGGAATAAGTCCATTTCCTACTTTTTGACAAAGAAATGGGGTTTAAAGCCAACAAATGGAAGGCCTCAAAGTTAAGCCTCAGCAAAGTCTGTAATGTTAAAATTAGGGCAAATTACTACAACAAAAAAACAAAAAAAAAAAATCAAGGTTTTGTGTGTTTTTCAATTTAAACCCAGGATTTCAATTTTAACAATTAAAACCCTGATGTCACTTCCGTGTCACAATTTACCCCCCCCCCCCAAAAAGGGGGCCCCCCGGGTCCATCTCCGTCTGATGAACTAACGGGATCTCCATTTTTGTCGCCATTTCCATCCCAAAACGACGTCATTTTGCTCCATCACTCCATATCTATCTATATTTATATATATACACTAACTATATAAATACAGGGAGGGTGTGATCATTCACACCAAGAAGAGAGAGGGGAGGGAGGAGAGACTACTAGAGAAGGGAGGCCAAAGGTGACACCCGGGCGGCAGACGGCCATGGCCATGGTTGGCCGAAGAAGAAGAAGGAGAAGCAAATTGAGAAAGAGAGGAGGAGGAGGAGCCGAAGCTTGGAGGTGGTGGCGATGGCAGCACTGCCACTATCGGAGGTTTGATGGCCACCACGAGCTCAGTGGAAAGGCCATGAAAAAAGAGGAAAAGAGAGAATAATTGTGGAAAGGAAGGAGGAAAGAATAAGCATGGAGATGAAGATAGAGCAAAAAAAAAAAAAGAGAAAAATCTTAATTTTGACCAATTTTCAGAGCTCCGATGGCATGCAAAAAAAGGTGGAACAAACCGTATGAGAGGTGGGACCTAGGCCATGAGGTGAATTCAACGACGCGAAAATGAGGTAAAACGGAATTACGACAAGAGAGATACAAAGACTTAAACACGTGTGTTTGAAAATTTTGCTCTTCATCTTCTTCCTTCAGCAGCACACACACAAAGCAAAATTTTCAAATTCAAACCCACCTGTTCTAGTCCTTGTATCTCCTTCGTTGTAACTCTATTTTGCCTCATTTTCACATCGTTGGATTCATCTCATGGCCTAGTTTTTATTCCACCCCTCATACGCTATATTCCACCTCTTTTTGCATATCGTCAGAGCCCTGAAAGTTGGCCAAAATTACGATTTTTCTCACTTTCTTTTTTTCTTTTTTTTCTTTTTTCCCTCTATCTTCATCTCCATGCTTCTTCCTTCTTCCTTCTTTCTTTCCACAATTATTCTCTCTCTTTTCCTCCTCCTTCATAGCCCTTGCACTGAGCTTGAGGTGGCCACCGAACCTTCAACGATGGCGGTGCCACCATCGCCACCACGCCCAAGCTTCAGTTCCTCCTCTTCTCTTTCTCATTTTCCTTTTCCTTCTTCTCCTTCTCCTTCTTCTTCGGCCAACCATGGCCATGGCCGTCGGCCATGTTTGTGCCGCGCAGGTGCCACCTTCGGCCTCCCTACAACCATGGCCTGTATATATATATATAGTTAGTGTATATATATTATATATATATATATATATAAATATAAATATAGATAGATATGGAGTGATGGAGCAAAACGACGCCATTTTGGGATGGAAATGGTGCCAAAAATGCAAGCCCCATTAGTTCATTCATCAGATGAAGATGGACGTGGGAAGTAACATTAGGATTTTAATTGTTGAAATTAAAACCCTGAGGTTTAAATTGAAAAACACGCTGAACCCTCATTTTTTTTTTTTTTTGTAATTTGTGCTTAAAATTAAATCAAAAAGTGTATTAATAACTTTAAGTGCTTAGTTGAACTCACAAAAAAATTATTCTGATGACATTGGCAAGGTAAGACATAACTTGATAGATTGGCATGTTTGACATTTAAAATATTTGTCCCATTGTTTTTGGATAGAAAAAGGCAACATAACTGACTGTTGCTAGTTAAATGGCAATTGTAAGCTGTTCTTAATCATTGTAAGGAAGGTGCTGTAACCTTGAATGGTTATATGCAAAAGCAAGCCTGGAACTGCAGAAAGTCCTGAAAAAAATTAGGTAGTATTTGGTAGAGTTTTAAGAATTATGATTTGAGAAAAAAGTTGTATTTTGAGTTTTTGAGTTTTGGAATTATGATTTGAAAAGATAAAATTTGTTTGGTTATGAGTTTTGAAAAAAGTTTTGAATTTTTTATGTAGCATATGAAATGAGAAAAGTTGTTTGGTTATGAGTTTTGAAAAAAGTTTTCAAAACTTAATTGAGAAACTTATAACTCATAACCAAACACACAACTCAAAACTCTATTGAAAATTCTATTCAAAACTCATAACCAAACTCTTTTTAAAATTCAATTCAAAAAAATAATTTGTCTTTTTGGCCTAAAAAAATAATTTCTATATTTAAAAAATATCAAAAACAAATATAATTTTTTTTTCCAAATAACAGGTGGCGATTGGTAATTGCAAACCAAACCAAACCTTAAGTCCCATCAAATGGGATCGACTACATGAATCCTTCTTCTCCACGCAGTCTTACCAAAGGCCATTTCGTTAGTTAAATTAAGTAAATTCATATCTCTATTTACAACGCTAACCAACGTTAATCTAGACCTACCCCATCCCCTAACACTTCCATCTACCTTTACAGTATCGCATCTCTTCACTACTGTCTCTGTTGGTCTCCGTTGAATATGACCAAACCATCTCAATCGATTCTCTCTCAACTTATTTTCTATCGGTGCTACTCCTACCCATTCCCGAATATACTTATTCATAATTCTGTCTTGTCTAATCTTGGCACACATGCACCTTAGCATTCTCATCTCAGTCACACTCATCTTATCTACATGTTGTTTATTGGTTGCTCAACACTCCGTCCCATACAACATCGCTGGTCTAATAGCCGTTCTATAAAATTTACCTTTAAATCTAGTGGGTATTTGTTCATCGCACAGTACTCTAGACGCACTTCTCCACTTACACCATCCCGCCTTAATCCTATGGACCACATCTGTATCAATCTCCCCAGCTGTTGTGATAATCGACTCTAAATAACAACAATGTTCACTCTTAGGCAGTTCTTGATTCTCAATCTTTACTTCTCTTCTGCTTTCATTGTTACTGTTACTAAATTTACACTCCATGTATTCTGTCTTAGTTCTGCTTATCCGGAATCTTTTAGATTCAAGAGCTTTTCTCCAAATCTCCAACTTTGTATTAACCCAAGAGAAACTGAACTCACATGGAGCAAACAACAATTACCTATAAACTAAAATTACTCAAAAACCTGCCAAGTTATTCTGAAACCGCCACAATTAGTTCAACTCGTCCACATCATTTGTTTGATGAGAAAAGTTACTAGGCAAGGATGCCAAGACAAAGAGAATGCATATATTCTTTTAACTTATTGACAACCAACTCATTTAAAAGACCTTATGTTGTCAAAAAGCGGGGTAACTTTATTATTTACATCCTCAACATGCCCTCTCATGTGTAGTAGTCAAGCACTCCTCTATAAGCAAGCCAAACATGCACAAGTATTATAATATTGGGTAGGCAGTGTGGTTCAAACAAAGGACCTATTGCCTACTTTGATACCATATTAAATTGTTAACAACCATCTTATTAGGCCCTGTTTGTTTCACTGGATATAAAATAAATGATATAATATGATGCAGAATTTAGTCAGGATATATAATGAACAGGATATATGTATTGGATAATATATCCCCCAATTTATGTTTGTTGACTTGATAAATAATACTGGATATATACTATCCATGTTTGTTTACAAAATATATTATGGGATATAAACAAGTAATTTCCAAGATTGCCCTCATAATATATTTTAAATACCCATATTGGAACTAATGCAAATAAACAAATTCAAAATTCAAAACTAATGCAAATAAACAAATTAAAAATTCATATTATTTTTTATTGGAACAAATTAAAGATTCATATTAAATTCAATAATTTTTCCAAATGAAAAAGAAATTATATTATATTAATGTCAACCTGATAATGATAAAAAAAATTATATCATATTAAATTCAAAAAATTATATTAAATTCAATTCAATAATATTATATTATATTACATTATATTATACTCAATAATATTAAATTATATTAAATTCCATAATTATTAAATTCAATAATTATATTATATTAAATTAAAAAATTATATTATATTATATTATGTTATATTATATTAGATAGACAAAAGGGTAAATTGGACTTTTAAAATCATATTCCAACCCAAGGGATATGCTATAATGGGGGGACGGTGGTATTGTATATCCTCCAATTTTGGGAGATATACAATCCCATAGTATATTATATCCTCTTTAAAAAAAATTACAAACATGGGATATGTGGAACCCACAGTATATAATATCTAATCCCACCTTTTATATCCTGGAATCAAACAGGGCCTAAAAGCTTAAGCTATTAGAGAGGGGGATAACTTCATTATTTATACTCTCAACAGATTCGACAAGTCAACCTTTAGAAACTA